AAATATTGTTTTAAAACAAAAACTGCAAAAGAACTTCTTACTAACCTGAAAAGCAATTGCCCTGGACTTCCTTGTGCACAGCTTCATGTCTTCCAAGGCGTAAAAAATCAATGTCCTACAATTATTTGAATTTCAATAAGGTGGAAGAAAATGCAATAGCAATTCTATACAAAACAGAAAATGGAATTTCGACATTTTAAAAGCCACTGATTGCCAGAAAAATTATTGTTTTAAGTTTAGTTAGTGCATGAAAGACATGATCACAGATGGTCTTAATCAATCCAAGAGTACGAAGCTTAAGCCACAATCGTGTTTTTCTCTTTTTAGGCAGAAGTGTACAATTTGATCCTGGTTTTCCAACAAAGCTTCAGCAAAAACCTAAACTGTACAAGATGGAAGAATATCAAAATAGTTAGTAAGACAAGGTTAAGCATTGAGGTTGTTGAAAGCTACATTTACATAGTATTCCTATTCAATTTTGTTTATTAATTTTTCTCACAGTTAATTTTTTTATCTGTGTTCTTTATAAATTTTTCTTTAATCAGTTCCTGTCACCCCAAGTTCCTTTTTTTTTTTTAAACTAGTTTCTTACAAGTACAATAATTTTTCTAATGAAAAAAAATAAAACAAATTAACTACTTGAGTATTTTCCTTCACCATGTGGAAGCATGATTTATACTGAAAGAATGCATGCAAAAGAAAAACTAAAATGAAAAAAATTCTACATTCCACAACTATGACAAGACACATTAAAGGATAAAGATGACCTGTGATTTTAGTTTGATAAGTAAATTATCAACAGCAGAGTTTGTGTAGGACGTAAGCAAAATGGATGCACCTCTGATCAACAGCGCTTTCACTGCATGCACCATTGTAGATGTTTTTCCTGTTCCAGGCATCCCCAGAATTAGAGCATAATCCTTTGCAGCAAGTATCTGAAACAACAAAGTAGTAAGACGGATAAAGCCGAGCAATCCAAAGAAAATTCATAATATCAACTGAAGATATCCCATCTTCATAAATGAAACAGTGAATAGATCTAACCAAGAGAAGTAGCACATTTATAAAGAGAGAAGTCTAGAATATTACCTTAAGAATAGCTCGGCGCTGATCATCATTCAAACTTTTCTCGGACCAAATATACGATATTGCAGGATCTTGACTCAATATACATCCACTGTCAAATCTAGGAGCCTGCAAAATCAGAGTGTCCTGGGCAGCATGAAAAAAAGGGTGTGGGGAATGGACAAACACATACTTAGAAAAAAAACAGTGGTTGCAGAAACCATAAAACTTTTGCAGGAAACATTCACCTGAAGGTCAACAATCATCTTCCTTAGACAAGAACTTCGCTCAGTTGGCAGAAAAAGTTGTACGAGATTGAACCTTCAGTAGTAGTTGTAACAAGAGTGAGTACAACCACAAAACATCATGTCAATTGTTTGACAGCCTCCAGTAACATCATAGTTTAAACAAGCCATGACAACAGTCATAGTGAGGAAACTACCTCATAATTGAAAATGTTGTCATCGCTTCATCCTTGTTGATCCGCCATACCTCCTGAAAGAGATCGTCTGCCTCTGAAGATGAGTTGCTCCAAGGAAGATGTAAACACTTTGAAAAAGAAACCTGACCATTTGACAGAATAAGAGAATATTAGGAAATTTCATTCAGATGAATGGGAAAAGTTAGTGGGTAGCTACATTCTTTATTAAGAGCCATGGCCCACAACAACAGGTCTATTAGAAAGCATGACAAGAAGTTACACTCACAGAAACATGAGAGCGACTGATTTCTGTTATAACCCCGCTTGCCACAACTAAGTGGCATGATTCGGCAGTAAGTATCTGAAAACAAAAGAAAATTTAATAATTTGATAAATTGCTATAAGCACTAAATAAAGGTGAAGTGTGGCTAAAAAATTATTAACGTTATCTACTCACAACACCCATTAGCAATTTTACAAAATTCATTAAATTTCTTGTAATAGAAACAAGAAAAGAAAATGAATTCCAGCTTAAACGTGTAAGCATAATTTGTATGGGTCCAAAGTTTGTAGTCCAATCTATATTCTCAACCTTTACATAATTCTATCAGCAGAACATTTAAAAAAAAAAAAAAAGGATCATATCCGAAAAACAGTGACACTATGGCTCACGTAATCCAATTCTTATTCTTTTCACATTCTCCTTCATTGACATCAATGAGTTGACATGTAGGAATAGCAAAATTTTTATATTTGATTCACAACTAAATCGATAGTGAATTATATGTTGATGGATTTCTACTCCTACTTGATTATGTAGGAATCACAAATATACCCAGCTTAAATTGAACATGGAATGAGAATACTAATCTCAATTTGACCATCCTCCTTTCCATTGGATTCCGATTTCTATCCCACATAAACAACATTGAACCACAGAATTAAAGATGGAAGGCCCTATGAAATTTCAAGCAGCTCCTCTTACAAAGAGTGTCATCAAAAGAAGCTACAAACCAAATAAATGGAAGTTCTATATACTATAAACCAGTTATTAGTAATAGGAAGAATTTCTATCATCATTATTACGCAACAGCAACTGAAGAAACTGCATGGTAAGAGAAAAACATTTAAAAACATCTAAAATAACGTAGGAGGCCTTATGGAATTTCAAGCAGCTCCCATTACAAAGCATGTCATCAGAAAAAGCTATAAAACGAATAAATGCAAGTTCTATATACTAAAAACCAGTTAGTAATAATAGGAAGAGTTTTGTATTATTATTATCGTGAAAGCAGACAGGAAAAAGAAGATTTTTTCTTTTTTATTTTCTGGTTTTTCAGTTGGTACAAAAGGCTGAATTTATAGAGTTTTACATTCCTATTTTATCTCCTAATTTTAGGATTAAATTACTACACAATCAATAGCAATAATTTCTAAAAATTATAGTAATTAATCGTAGAAATATGCCGTAATAACTTGTAAAAATATACAGTAATAAATTCTAAAGATATATAATAATAATTTTAAAAATATGCAGTCAGCTTGTAATTTTTTCCATAGTTTCTACACTATGCAACAGCAAATGAGAAAAATTGCATGGTAAGAGAAACATATCTAAAACTCTGCCTCACCAAGCCCCCAGGTCAAAAACCCACCCAAAATAAAGAAGTTCAGAAGCTCTTTACCGAGTAACTCTTTTTCTTTTGAAATACATTTCCTGAGCAATATAAAATTGGATGATATTCAGACTTGCGTATTGTTAAGTACAGCTCATAGCAGGAAACT